GAGCGGAAGTCGGACGCTTAACTGACTGAGCCACCCAGGTGCTCAGAAAGTGGGAGCTTCTAGTGGCATTTATTGAGTGCTTGCTGTTTGCGGGTGCGGCGCTAAGCACGTGCACTTATCGGCTCAACCCTGGTTGAGAGATGTTCTCATTGTCCCCATCGTACAGAGGAGACTGTGGGAGCTGACTCACGCACCTTCACTTAAAGGCTGCTAATGTCAGAAGACCTCCAAGAACGGTGGGTGAAAGCAAAACCATGGGGGGGGGGTCAGATGGAGGTGCCTTTTCCAAATGCCAGATCACTTACCCCCTCACCTAGTCCCAGACAGAACGCACTAGCGTGGCTAACTCCGTAGTCTACGCATTCTTCCGCATCTTTCTGTGTGCGGAATTAATCTTGGACCGTCTTTCCGCATCAGCACGGAGAGATCCTATCCTTGCTCATTATCCATTCCAACATCCCTTCTGGGAGGCAACAATTGAAAACAACCCGAATGCCCTTGTAAGGGCAGATATACAAATAATTGTCCCTCGTGCCAAAGAGGGAGACACCGCCTCTCCCTTTCCTTAGAGCATTTACTCTAGAAAACTTGTAATTCTTTCCCTGCTCCTTTTAGGTGTACTCAAGTCTTTGAAAAAGCTGAATAAGTCTCTAGTCAGTTTTGCCACCCAGGATCACTTTTCTTACGGATGGGAGAGCATATCCAGAAGGTCAGTGTCCCATCACCCAGTCTCTGTGGGAGGGTAGGAACCTAACATCAGCGTTGGGCTCCAGGTTGCAAAAAGTCGCTTCTTGTAAAGATAGAAATTAAAAAAAAAATTTTTTTTTAATGTCCATTTTTTGAGAGGGGGGTGGGGAGGGGCAGGGAGAGAGGGAAACACAGAATCCGAAGCAGGCTCCAGGCTCCGAGCTGTCAGCACAGAGCCCGACGCGGGGCTCGAACTCACAAACTGTGAGATCGTGACCTGAGCCGAAGTCGGATGCTCAACCGACTGAGCCACCCAGGTGCCCCAAGATAGGAATTTCTTTCTCCTGCAGATAAAGACAGCTAGCCCAATTGCCAGGTGAATTCAGGAAGAATTGTGACAAACGGGGCCATCTAGTATCCTTCCTTGAGGACTAGTTATCGTCTGAGAACATGGAGGTCGTAGGCTCGTATCTGCTGGAGGTCATAAAAGGGTGGGGTTCCTGCCTTTGCAATCTCTTCAGCGGATTGTCTGACGTGCGCCACAGTCTGGTTTAATGCTTATTCAGTAATATAACTGTTTTCTTTCTCTGCCGCTTTTGTGGAGAGCTTTTCTGATTGGTGGGAGATTTTTAAATTAAAAAAAAAATTCCAATTTTAGGGAGAGAGAGCGAGAGAGCGTGCATGGGTGGGAGAGAGGGGCAGAGAGAGAGAGAGAGAGAGAGAGAATCTCAAGCAGGCTCCACACTCAGCATGGAGCCTAATGGTGGGACTTGATTCCACGACCCTGGGATCATGACCTGAACTGAAATCAAGAGTCAGATCCTCAACCCACTGGGCCACCCAGGCATCGCAGTGGGAGATTTTGTTTTCAATGTTGTCTCCAGTACCTTCAAATGTCTTTCTACGGAGGACTGGTTGAATAAATTTGGTATCCCCACACGACGGGATATGATGTGGTCGTAGGAAAGAACCAGAACCTTCTCTCCATTTTCATTGTTGAGTGAAAGGTACAAGGTACACAGTAGTTTAGCACTTTTTCTGTAAAAAGAGTCTGTATTTGCATTTGCATAATCTCTGTAAGAGTGAAAAAGAAAATAAAGTGTGTGCGTGTGTGTGTTGAGGGGAACCGGGGCAGATGAAGGAGAGGAGAGATGGGGTTTTTTTTGCTGAACATCATTTTATATTTTCCGACTTTTGAAACATGCGACTGTATTATCTATTCAAAATAAATTAAAGGGAGGGCCGGTGGCAAGCAAGCAAACCACTGAAGGAAAGAAGTCCCAGGACTGGACGTTCTCTAAGCCTTTGATTCTGTTCGTTTCTGAGCTTAGCCTTGACCTTAGAACTGAAAACTGATTATATTGATTTTAGAGGGCTGATCTTAGTTTAAAAGCAGGGAATGTCTCTCTAAAAAAAGAAAAAAGAAAACAAAATAATAATCGGGTAGCTGATGCACTCCTCCCCAGCTGAGAGAGCTGCTTCCCAGGGTTCTCGGGTCCAGTTCTCAGCCTTGGTGGCTGGGGGAGGGGAGGGGACTCACTTGAGAGGTTTGGCAACCCCCCCCCCCCCCCCCCCCCCCCATCTCTCTGCCTCCCAGAAGGTCCCTTGCTTTCCAAGAAGCAGGACTTGAGTCAGGAGCGGTGACGGGAAGGGGTGTGTGGGGGCACAGTGTCCATCCACATTGGGAACTGGGGAGTCAAGATGCCCCAAGATCCCACCACTAGCCAGGGGTCCTTTTACAAGCTCCTCTGTGAGAATAATAGGAAAAAGGATACCAGGCAGGGGTCGTCTCTCAACCCTCCTGGCCACTTCTCCGTTGTGTTGATGTGCACTTAACTTCCCTTGGGCGTCAGGTCAGGAAATGGCCAATGGTGGGTGCTTCTTCCCTTTATCCCTGTGCTCAGCCTGTGAGGTAGGTGCTATTTATCATGGTCCCCATTTTAGGAAACTGAGGCACAGAGAAATAAGTGACGTCACACCGCTTGTGAGGGCTGGCTCGCCCTCTCTGCGGTTCCCCTTCGGACACCCCTGAGCCTGCCTCCGGCCGGGTGCTGCAAATCCGCCGTCGCTCAAGAGCCCGCGGAAGTTCTGAAACGGAACTGCGGGCACCGCGACCCAGCACTGGGGGCAGGGCTGTGCTTTGCATTTCCAGGCCCCGTGGGAGGCCCGTGGCTTTCTCCCCCGCTCCGGAGCGGAGTCTGCGTGGATGTGTAGGGACTCGGGCTCTGCCCCCCGGCTCCCTGCCACTTGCCCTGTGGCCTGGGCTGCGTGCCTTGCCCAGGTTTCCAGTGTCAGCAACGGGAGCGGGTCAGGGTCATGTAACGGACCGCGCCAGGGGTCCTAGGTGGGGCACTGCAGGCTGCAGAAGTCGGCGGAGGAGAAGAGCCTGAACACGTTGACCAGCGGGAACATGAGCACAGCCCCGAGGAGGGAGCCCAGCTGCACCGCCGCCCCACACCACAAGAGGGCGCTGCGGCTGCGGTCGCGCAGGATCACGCCCAGCATCACCTTGACGTAGCTCAGGCAGCCGATGAACAGCACCCAGGAGGCCACCTGTGGGTACAGGGCAGGGGAGATGCAGAGTGAAGGGGGCTTTGGGGGTGAGCCCCAGGGGAGAAGGGTGCTTGTAGGGTGACCTAGCGGGCCTAAGGGAACCCCAGGGAATAACCTCTGAGTTGAGTACAGCCTTTGGGGGCGACCCTCTAGGGCTAAGGGGGCCCCCTGAGTTGACACACGTGCCCAGGGCAAAGGAGAACCCAATAGCCTTTATGTCCCCCCATAACCAAGTCAAGGGCGTCTGGGAGAAGGCCACTGCTGACAGACGCATGGCCGTCCACATGGCGGGAAGGGTGCGGCATTCAGGGGAGAGGCTGGACTGTCACCTTGGACCAGCCACCTCACCTTCCTAAGCCTCTGTTCCCA